CTTCATACTTTGGGTTCATTTCGCACCACTGTCGTTGACCATGATCTCTTTTACAGTAAAGGCATGTAACTATTGGACCTTTATCTCTTACAGGTCTGTAGCTCTTATACTCTCTTGAGTATTCTCCTTTCTTCTGAGTATATTGCTTTTTCCTGTATACAGGTTGTACTGCAGCTCCGTAGCTGATGTCTGCACCCTTATTGAAACTAAAAATGTTTCTGTGTGCATTCCAGTATGCAGCACCTGCGTCTTCCATCTGCTTTACTGTTTCAGGTTTCTGCTCAATCAAAAACGTCTTCATGCTGCTCGGGACACTTGACAACACCTTGTCTCTTATCAAAAGATCTTTTAACAACTCGTATGATTTGTTCACTTTCGCCGATGTTACCCACTTGTCAAAAGTGGATACCACCTCAGACATGTAATCCAGAAATGTCTGTTCAGCTTTCGGAATCAAATTTTTAAAGGTATTTCTGTAAGATTCCTCATCTAGGGAGAAATGTTGGAGAATTCGGTCCCTGACAAAGTAATAATCCTCAAGTTTTTCAGTAGGGATTGTCTCTAGTAATTTCAAAGGTTCCCCCCCCCCCTAAATGTTTTCGGTAAATGAGTGACCACTCTTTAAAATGGACCTTATAGTGATGGACCATACATTCAAAATTTTGTGTCCAAGCAGATATGGAATCACCCTGTGTAAAAAATTTTATTAGGCCCTGGTACTTTTTGAACGAAGGTTCAGCAGCCTTTATCTCAGCCTTACGCATTTGCACCTCAGCATCTCTAGTTGCTTCTATCTCTTTGGCCTTTAGTTCCATCACCAGCCTTTCTTTCTCTAGGTCTGAATTGCATAACATCTCTTTGAGTCTCAAGGTAGCGGTGTGTTCTAGCTCTTTGTCTTTTATCAACAACTGTACCCTGTCTCTCTCAGCCATCGCAGATAACTCTTTGTCTTTTAATGCCGCTTGGGCTTCCAGCTCGATCTGCTTTAGTTTACTAGCGGCTTCTAGTTCCAATTTCTTGAGTTCTCTCTCGTCAGCTCTGTCTTTTCTCTCTTGAAGATCGGCATATTTCTTGTCTGCCCATTCTAGCGCCTTCTCGCCAGTCAGACCATTCTGTTTTGCCATCTCGATGAACTCAGATAGACTCGACATCCTAATTACAATAACAATGATCTTTCGTTCAAAATAATAATCAACAACCACTCAACAAATCACCTGACTAACCGTAGCTGCCACGAACAAAAATACTAAAAATTACAAGTGGCAAGCCCGGAAATCAGTGAAAACAATGCAAATAATTTAGCAACGTAATAAATTCAATACAATAATAATAATAATTATGGAACAATTTGGACTGTTCGATACAGAAAAGGGATGGGTCACCGAAACTCAATCGTTACAATTTCCGAACGATGGATGATGATGTGTGTGCACAAAAGAAAAATTATTACACAAATGAACGTAAATGATGAATAGGACAGACGAGAAATGAGAAGGACAATGAACGGTGCCAGAAGCTCAAATACAATTGCGTAGAACCCTCGAGGGCTGGAGAACAGACCACAACAATACACCAAACGCAAAACAAACTTATCTTCTCTCCAGTCCTTGAATCTTGGCCTCCCACAGAAAGGATGATGAGGATGAGGTGATGACCGAGATCGACAGGCCTCGGTTGATCGATGTCGGCAGAAACCACACAACAGCACACAATCTTGACCTTCCTCACACTTTTTACTGTCCGTCAAACTATTTCTCCTCTACGTCACTAACTTGTCACGACGCAAACGCAGCCCTATCACATTTAGTCATTATTAATTACAATCAGTCGTAACAAATACGAAAACGATAACAAACTATCACTTTATAGCGCTACGGGTGATCCAAGCCAACCCCGATGTCGCTATCAAAAATTAAGAGTAGGCCCGAACAACGATGCAATATTTAAGAGAATAAACTCAGCAACGCTATCACAAACTTACTCGATAGCAACATCAAAATTAAGGGATTAACTCAATCACGTTAGCCCTACAATAGTGAACGACTAAACTTGAAGAAAAATAAATCAGTCAGCTAAACATACAAACTAATCTGTGTCTCCTATTTAGACAAATACATTGGGTTCACAATTAACGCAGACAACTATTACTATCTAGCTACTACTATAGATTCAATTCCCAAGGACGAACGCCCCCATAATCTGTCACAAACCTCTGGTATGACCTTGCCGGTCCGTGGCTCGCTAACTAGGCCTATGACAGACAGACTAACCTACAACACACACTGAACCCGAACGCACACAGAGCACACACGACAATCTTTATTGGAAGTACAGGTAATACATAGACAGTTGACTTCCCGCCGTGTGGCCACCTATTGCCTGGACCCTCTGGCTGAACGGGCTTTACAATCGCCCCGTCCCCAGTACGTGCGACAGGCAATGTTCTGGTGTACAAACCACAATCCGGCAGGATACGCTCTCTTCTATCGCCACGCTGACCCAATCAAACTGTCACAGTCTCTGTCCTAGTGCAGGGTCAGAGTGTCCAGGTTAGCCACTCTCTCACAGCACATTGACATAAATACTCTACACAAGAAACTATCCTATCCTAACACAAAACTGTACATAAACTATCCAGTCACTAACAGAAATATATCCTAACTTTAATACTATAACATAAACTATCCAGTCACTAACAGATATATCCTAACTCTAATACTATAACACAACTGTCTTGCTAAACGTCCTCTCTTCCTGACCGACGCACACCGAATGTCCTCTTCTCTCTCCCTCCTGTCTCTTGACCCCGTTCACCAGCTCAGTCCCAAAAGCAGTCATCGTGTTTGTCCACAACACAGTTCAGGCTTTCTTGCTTTATCCTGAGCGCTGGTTTCGCGTCACAGAACGGACTTGACCAGTGACGGCCCTGACCGCTATGTCAACCCTGGGCCCACACCTTACGGTGTGGTACACTGACTGTACTTAATAGGGTTGTGACATACATACAGATATCTCATGTCTACACACAGACCATTCTACATACAGATATCTCATGTCTACACACACACCATTCTACATACAGATATCTCATGTCTACACACACACCATTCTACATACAGATATCCCATGTCTACACACAGGCCATTCTACATACAGATATCTCATGTCTACACACAGACCATTCTACATACATATATCTCATGTCTACACACAGACCGTTCTACACACAGATATCTCATGTTTACACACATTACTGGTATCTCATGATCTCATGCCTACATACAGATATCTCCTGTCTACAAATAGACATCTTCTGTCTACATACAGATATCTCCTGTCTACACACTGGTATCTCCTGTCTACAAATAGATATCTCCTGTCTACACACAGTTATCTCATGTCTACACATTGGTATCTCCTGTCTACAAATAGATATCTCCTGTTTACACACAGATATCTCCTGTCTACACATTGGTACCTCCTGTCTACAAATACAGATATCTCCTGTCTGCATACAGATAGACCTTTTTGAGCCCTTGCCACAACCTCCTCTATGTGATCCCTGAAAGACTTCTGTCAAAGGTGATTCCCAGGTACCGCAGTACCGTCTCTTTTGATGTCCCTGCCATTTATTTTAAGTTTGGGAACATCAGTTCTAACAATCCAGTTGTCCAAAGAACACCACAGGACGGTTGCCTTTTCTGGGTTGAATACAGCACTCATCTCTGTACACCAGTCGATCACCTTATCTACTGTTGCCTGTCATATCTTATGTCTACACACATATATCTCATGCCTGTACACAGATATCTCCTGTCTGGATACATATATCTAAATTCTATATACAGATATCTCATGTCTACACACATATATCTCCTGTCTGCAAACATATATCTCATGCCTGCACACAGATATCTCCTGTCTGCATACATATATCCAATTTCTGCACACAGGTATCTCATGTCTACACACAGATATCTCCTCTCTACATACAAGTATTTGCTGTCTACACACACATATATATCTCCTGTCCACACACATTTATCTCCTGTCTACTTACAGATGTCCCCTATCTACAGAGTGATATATCCTATCTACACGCCTGTGTATACTATCTACACACAGATATTTCATGTCTACACATAGATATCTTATCTACATACAGAAATCTCCTGTCTACACATAGATAACTCCTGTCTATACAGTTATTTCCTGCTGACAAAAAAGACATCTCCTAGCTACACACATATATCTTCTGTCTAAGGTCAGGTATCTCCTGTCTATACACAGATATCTCCTATCCACACACATATATCTTCTGTCTAAGGTCAGGTATCTCCTGTCTATACACAGATATCTCCTATCCACACACATATATCTTCTGTCTAAGGTCAGGTATCTCCTGTCTATACACAGATATCTCCTAGCTACACACATATATCTTCTGTCTAAGGTCAGGTATCTTCTGTCTATACACAGATATCTCCTATCCACACACATATATCTTCTGTCTAAGGTCAGGTATCTCCTGTCTATACACAGATATCTCCTATCCACACACATATATCTTCTGTCTAAGGTCAGGTATCTCCTGTCTATACACAGATATCTCCTAGCTACACACATGTATCTTCTGTCTAAGGTCAGGTATCTTCTGTCTATACACAGATATCTCCTATCCACACACATATATCTTCTGTCTAAGGTCAGGTATCTTCTGTCTATACACAGATATCTCCTATCTACACACATATATCTTCATGTTATCACATGTTACTGTGTGATGTCATATGAAGCTATGATGTCATCTGTAACTGTTTATTATCACATGTTTATTATCACATGTTACTGTGTGATGTCATATGAAACTATGATGTCATGTGTAACTGTTTATTATCACATGTTACTGTGTGATGTCATGTGTAACTATGATGTCATGTGTAACTGTGATGTCATGTGTAACTGTGACATGTGATGATCAACCTTGCTCACATCAACAGCTTCCAGTGCCAGCCAGAGTCAGAAATGCATGCAGTGTTTCTGAGATTCCGAGAGCAGTCAGCAGAGGAAAGCTTCTCCAAGCAGCCAGACCAGATGTTTTCTTATTATGTTATCTCAGCATTCTTCGTCTTCATTATTGTCGTCATTGTACAGAGCATCATGTTGCCACGGTATGTCGTCTTTGTACAGAGTATCTTGTTACCACAGTATGTCATCTTTGTACAGAGTATCTTGTTACCACAGTATATCATCACTGTACAGAGCATCATGTTGCCACGGTATGTCGTCTTTGTATAGAGTATCTTGTTACCACAGTATGTCATCTTTGTACAGAGTATCTTGTTACCACAGTATATCATCACTGTACAGAGTATCATGTTACCACGTTACGTCGTCTTTGTACAGAGTATCTTGTTACCACAGTATGTCATCTTTGTGCAGAGCATCATGTTACCACAGAATATCATCATTGTACAATGCATTATGTTACCATGTTATGTCATCTTTGTACAGAGTATCATGTTACCACAGTATGTCATCACTGTACAGAGTATCATGTTACCACAGTTTATCATCATTGTACAGAGTATCATGTTACCACGTTATGTCATCTTTGTACAGAGTATCATGTTGCCACGTTATGACATCTTTTTACAGAGCATCATGTTGCCACATTTTGACATCTTTGTACAGAGCATCATGTTGCCACGTTATGACATCTTTGTACAGAGAATCATATTGCCACATTATGACATCTTTGTACAGAGCATCATGTTGCCACGTTATGACATCTTTGTACAGAGCATCATGTTGCCACGTTATGACATCTTTTTACAGAGCATCATGTTGCTACGTTATGACATCTTTGTACAGAGCATCATGTTGCCACGTTATGACATCTTTTTACAGAGCATCATGTTGCCACGTTATGACATCTTTGTACAGAGCATCATGTTGCCACGTTATGACATCTTTGTACAGAGCATCATGTTGCCACGTTATGACATCTTTGTACAGAGCATCATGTTGCCACGTTATGACATCTTTGTACAGAGCATCATGTTGCCACGTTATGACATCTTTGTACAAAGTATCATGTTGCCACGTTATGACATCTTTGTACAAAGCATCATGTTGCCACGTTATGACATCTTTGTACAAAGTATCATGTTGCCACGTTATGACATCTTTGTACAGAGTATCATGTTGCCACGTTATGACATCTTTGTACAAAGTATCATGTTGCCACGTTATGACATCTTTGTACAAAGTATCATGTTGCCACGTTATGACATCTTTGTACAAAGTATCATGTTGCCACGTTATGACATCTTTGTACAGAGCATCATGTTGCCATGTTATGACATCTTTGTACAAAGCATCATGTTGCCACGTTATGACATCTTTGTACAGAGTATCATGTTGCCACGTTATGACATCTTTGTACAAAGCATCATGTTGCCACGTTATGACATCTTTGTACAAAGTATCATGTTGCCACGTTATGACATCTTTGTACAAAGTATCATGTTGCCACATTATTTTGACATCTTTGTACAGAGCATCACATTACCATGGTCTTTATTGTACAGTGCATCATGTTACTACATTATGACATCTGTGTTGATAGCATCATGTTACCGTATATCATCTTTGTTTGTTGTTGGAACAGTATATTTTTGTAATGAGGCTGTATTACAATGATATTGGACTGACCCTAACCCACCTCCCGCCCTCCCCAGACTACCCTGGAACAAACAGACACATGCAGCATTCTGACCATGCTCCATCATGTACAACACAAAGTGACTACGTCAGTTAACTCAGATGTTTGATGTACTGTCTGCATGTCCTCCATCTCTAAAATTCTGTCTAGATATGATCCTTGGACTAGCAAACTGGCTGGGTCACTTCACTATACTGAGCTTACAATAAAATGATTATTCTAGGATAGCACTGTCAACCTAACCCACGAATGCAGCCAATCTTGCACCTCTAGCACTCACCGCCTTGCAGGTATCATCTCGGCCATGTCGGACCAGACACAGACTTCAGTCCATTGATCCCAAGTTATTGCATTTACTGCAGTTCAGTCTTGACAAACGTACACTTCAAACAACCACCCAAGGTCTTGTCCCTTATCTGAGTAAATCCCTTGTCTTGCTCTAGCAGTCCTTCACATGTCACTCCCATGCCTGCACCAAAGGTTACATGCACTTTGCTCATATCTCCCTGTGTTCTCATTGTTTCTCCCCTTCAACAAACATTTCAGATTGTTATAGAGGTTCTCATTCTGATATTTACTGTAAATATGATTTTTTGGGTTACTATTTCAGGAGCACAGTTTTGTTTGCAGTGTCAGCAATTGGTATTTTGCTGTATACAACTCTGACAGTAATCTGTGTGTGTGGTCACCTGTATGTGCTGGTAGGTATCTGCGTCTGTATGTCAGTGTGGTCAAGTGTCTGTTCTGGTAGGTATCTGTGTCTGCGTGGTCAAGCTGGTAGGTACGTTATCACGCTGTGTGGTCACCTGTCTGTGCTGGTAGGTATCTGTGTCTGTATGTCAGTGTGGTCAAGTGTCTGTTCTGGTAGGTATGTGTGTCTGCGTGATCAAGCTGGTAGGTACGTTATCCCGCTGTGTGGTCACCTGTCTGTGCTGGTAGGTATCTGTGTCTGTATGTCAGTGTGGTCAAGTGTCTGTTCTGGTAGGTATGTGTGTCTGCGTGGTCAAGCTGGTAGGTACGTTATCCCGCTGTGTGGGCACCTGTCTGTGCTGGTAGGTATCTGTGTCCGTATGCCAGTGTGGTCAAGTGTCTGTTCTGGTAGGTATCTGTGTCTGTATGTCAGTGTGGTTAAGTGTTTGTTCTGGTAGGTATCTGTGTCTGCGTGGTCAAGCTGGTAGGTACGTTATCACGCTGTGTGGTCACCTGTCTATGCTGGTAGGTATCTGTGTCTGTTTGTCAGTGTGGTCAAGTGTCTGTTCTGGTAGGTATCTGTGTCTGTATGTCAGTGTGGTTAAGTGTTTGTTCTGGTAGGTATCTGTGTCTGCGTAGTCAAGCTGGTAGGTACGTTATCACTCTGTGTGGTCAGCTGTCCGTTCTGGTAGATACCTATAATATATATACCTATATATATTTAAAAGTTCACTTGCTTTCTGACATCTGATTTCTATTTTTCTGTCAATTCTCCCTAACCTGATTCAGGGCACAACCATTCAGCTGTGTTTAGTGGGCAAGGGGTTCTATTGAGTTGCATTGTTTTGGTTTTTTTTTTTTTTTTGCATTGATCTTCATGTTGTGTTTACTGACTGGTGAGTTTAACATGTTAATGTGGTCTTTAAGTCTTATCTTCTTCTGGGTAAAACAAATAGCAAGCGGCTAAGTTTATAACATGTGCCTAAACATAAAATATATTTATATAAAACAAGTTTAGCATATTCTACCGCTCAGTTATGAAACCATCTTCCACTTGATCTTGTAGCACAATTCTTTTCTGTGTGCACGTTGATAGACACCCAAGTTTGTCTTTAGTTTGTTACAGGAGGAGTCAATTGAAAGATTATAGAGGAAGAGAAAGATGGTCGTGTCGATAGTGGTGATGATGATGTTGTCTTGCTTGCTGCATGCTTCTCACGTGACTGATGCTTGCATAAGAAAATGTCAGGAAACAAATGTTCTTTTATATACTGTCTTTATTGTGTTACTTCAGCAATGTCACAAATAACATCAATGATATTCTGACTGACGCTGTGTTCGCTCTGTGGTTACATACTCTTAGATTCGGGTTAAGCTCTTTATCTTTAGTTATTTTGTCAACTGGTTCTAGTATATAGACACAACAGAGAACCATGGCTCTTGCTATGCTTGATGAGAAGTATCCAAACACCACATGTACTCAGGTTTTCACCGACGGCTCTGCTATAGATGCAGTCAGAAAGGGGAGTTGTGGAATATACATTAAACCCCCTAGCAGTAGAGCAGAAACTCTCTCTCTACCAGCAGGTGACATCTGCACTAACTTCAGAGCTGAGGCGACTGCCCTCCCTTCTGCAGTCCAACATCTCATCACTCAAGAACACAGAGGGCACAAAATTGTTATACTTAGTGACTCATTGTCTGTTCTCCAAGCACTTTCAAGCAAAAAATAAGACAAACTAATTGCAGATCTAAGGACCAACATTGGCTTACTCTCCAAGGAAGCAGAACCGGTCTTGCAGTGGATACCAGCCCACTGTGGTATTCAAGGAAATGAGAGAGCAGATGAGTTGGCAAAAGCTGGGAGTATTCTTCCACAACCTCATCCATCACACAGCTACAAGGAAACCAAAACAGCAATAAAGCAGTCTTTCAAGCGGGAGTGGTGAAAGCAGAATAGAGATTACAGACCAGAGAGTGACAGCATAAACAAACTCAACAGGAAAGAA